CCATGTCTTAGGACAGAGATACATAGATCATGGAGTGCCATTTGGATTACCAAGGAAGTTTGGAAAAAAATGGAGGAATCTTCCAACTAAAAAGTTGCCAACAACTCTTACTATGGTTCCTGTACATGCAGGTCTTTAGGTGCTGTCTGTCAGTAAATTCTGCTTGGCACAGTAACATTTTTTACAGCTTTGCAGTAACTTTGTTGATGCTACATTGAGTTGTATATTGAGCCAGAAAGTCATTATGAACCTTTGTGACCCTTCAAAATGCCCCCTCTGCAAAAGCAGGGTCCATAAAGAGATTTTAGCTCCGTGTACACATGCAGTTTGTATCGCAATAAAATAGGGGAAGTTGTGTGCTTCTCACTTCCAGTATCCTGAAAATATGCAGAGCACTGGAGTGGCAAACATTGTTATAGTAATAAGAAGATAATGAATGAAAGCTTGAATAGCTTGAAGGGAAAGACATGAGTAAGCTGATGTGAATCAATTTGCTCCAATTTGGAAGTTCAAGGATGTTCATGTTTCATGAGGATGAAGACCAGTGATTCATTGAGCAATATTTAATATCCACACCAATTGTCAAACAGTTTTTCTTGTTTTGTCCATGTTTCACTAAAAAGTTGTTTTGAATGAAGTTGAAATTTTCCATTGTGGTCTTGACAAGGGCAGCTTCTGATCCTTCTACACCGTACACGGTTGGTCATTTCATAGAGCTAGGAACCTAGCTCTATCAGTCTAAGGTCATTTGAGTTGGTTGTTTGCTAAAATTTTGCATTTTGAAGAACAGGAGGAAAATTCCCAGTATCTTACATGTATTTTTATGGGACCAAGCTCTGGGATTGTGATATCTTCAGGTTAAAATACCATGTAGTTCAATCACACTGTATTCAATGATCTAACTTCATCCATTGATCAAACCTGTATCATGCACACACTACACCAATAAGCTTTTCAGGGATTGTTGTGTTCTTTAATTTGCTACACCAGTGGTTCCACTGTGGCTTATCACACTGCTAGTACCCACACACAACAAATCATTCCTTAGTACGAAATATGTAAGGGAGCCTGGAAAACCCAGGGGTTCTTATTACTTGCCTGCCAAAAACAATTGACAGTGGTCTTTATTGATATTTAATTGCCATCAATTGCCTTTGCAACTACAGCCACCCAGAGGGAAGGAAACAATGTTATTGATATGCTCCCTTGGGAGGAAATAGTACACATAAAAGAGGTATTTGTGGGCTTGTTAAGAACAAAGGGCATGTCAACATGGGATGTTATAAATGACAAATATGTTAACTGTTGTAACACCCCAGGTGGCTTCATTTATTCCTTGTAAGGGGACAGATCCTTATAAGACTGGGCCAGATCAATTGAAGTGGACAGGGGTACCTTTCTGTGTACATGGGTAAAGTGCTGTTATTCTTGTCTGAGTATTATAGCAGTTGTTAGTGGTGTTTATGTTTTGTTGACAGCTGAAAAACCTGAATTCATACCGAAGGTCCTTCAAGTTTGTATTACTTTGTGTTTGTCGTTTGAATACACTATAAACTTTATTACATGTAGAAGGCTCCATGCTTACCACATATAGAAGGCTCCATGCTTACCACATATAGTATATGTGGTAAGCATGGAGCCTTCTACATGTAATAAAGTTTATAATTATGCCATGAACATTTTATGCATTTCCTATATAAACAGGTACATGTACATCACAGTTCAGTACCAATAGCTTCAATGGTGTTTTTAGCTGCCTAGAATTAAATACACTACCGTGCCAGTCATCTTGTCAATGGTTACAGATAGTCTCTGATTGAATTAAGAAGGTTCTTTTGCACTTACAAGTAACACACACCTTCACAGAATGAACCAGCTGACTGACAACCATTATTCCATCCGCTTGTAGTCTCTTCTCAAGTTCACATTGGTGTGTCGTATTTTGACTTTAATTTGGTAGTGTGGCCGTGGCTAACAAGGAGTCTGGCAGTGGGAAATGCTATCGCTGCAGCACTCAAAGCAGGTTAATGGCAAATGCAAAGATAGGTGATGGGAAAATTCCATGGTGTCACTTAATTTCTGTTTGGCTACTTGACAGGGGTGTGCGGGCTTTGGGGCTAAGCCACACTTCTTTTCTTGTAAGTCAGTAACATAATGCCTTTTCCTTAACAGAAAGTCAATTTCTTGAACACTTGTGATCAAGTCAGCACACGGTCGATTGGAACTTGTGTGGCCAAAGTACAGTTAAACTTTGACTGATTTAGCCTACTTTCCCCTTTGAAAAGTTTATTTTGTTGCCTACATTCATGTATTCTGTCACTGGTTTTCTTTTATCTTTAACAAATCATTCTTTGGATTTCCAGAACTGCACCTTCCTCCTACAAAGAAAGAAAAGCATCTGGAATTGACTTCTCAAATCTGTCGCTCAATTCATGGAGCATTTTCACCTTTGTTTGTACAGTGACTTAGTAGATTTGTCAGTTATGTGTCAAAGCCCCTCTTGATTTTTTATTTATCTTGGGAGATGCGTTAATAGTACAATGCTTAACCTAACCTGACAGAATATCAGACCACATGACTCGCCTGCAAAGCAGCCCTGACTGTGAGAAGCATCCATTTAATCAACTATATATAGCATACCCATTCTGAGCGCCATTATTTCAGAGCTGGGGTGTAAATTGCTGGTATGCAACAAACTGCGTATGGTTTCTGTGGTGTAAGTTGGAAGTGAAAAGGTTAGCTTATCACTTACTGTTTCGATGCATGCGTGGAGATACATGCAACCATCTGCTATTTAAGTTGACAAATAAGATAAGAATTCCTAACACTACTGAAGTCTGACCAATCATGGATGAATTGTTGCACTGTCTTGCAAGGCACGTGTCAGAAAAACTTGTTCAAAATACATGTTGTCAGTTCAGGTTGGTCATTATTGATTTGAAACCAGTGCTGTTCACTTTAACCAGATAAGGTCAACAAAAACAGGTTCTGCTTCTGATTACATGCCTCTCAAAAATAGGGTCGGTGAGTCAGAAGGGAGGGGGTCAAATGTTTTTGCCGATTTAATGGCATTAATGGGGGTGAAAACTAACCCCCCCACCCAAAAAAAGTCTCCATAACCCTAGGGTCTGTTTATCCAAACTCTGAGTGCAAACACTTAGAACATGCTTAAATATGAATATAAATTATGTAAAAGTATTAATATGCAATTTTGATTACACTTTTGGAGGAAAACAAATACGTCAACCCCGATTCTCAGTGTGCACTTTGAAATGGCTGACAAATTTGGCACATTGTGATTGGTCAACGTATTGCAAACTCTTGCAGGTGCACTGTTCTGAATCACTCGTATTCTTCACCAGTCCTGTCAATTCTCATTTTTACATAGTTACATTTTTTACAGTTCTTAATGAGTTCTTCAGTTGTGTTTCAACCACACCACTTTCAAGTTAAAAAGTCCTGTTGCCAAGTCCCAATCATTTCTCTTGCCCCTTCTCAAGGAACGAATTTGATGTTTTGAAAAGGTTAGGCCATTCAAAGACAAAGCACCTGACTGTCACTCTGGCTTGAGCATGTTCAGTGCATGTGAGGCAGAGAGACTGCGCTTATACTATTCTAGCACTGACTTTGTATGTATATTAATATTCTTAGATGACCTACGGCATACTTCATTTTGTGCATGTACTTTTGGCAGACTGAACTGGTACATTACATGTACATGTAAATGTAACTGAGAGACCAGCTTCCAGCCAGTTTAAGAACCTTGAAAGGGCTCATGAAAAGTGTTGTATTAGTTATGATTGAACATTGTATGTTCGTAAATGATAGCCAGAATATGAAAGTTGTTGTTTTGATTAATAAATGGGAGAAAATTTTTTTTAATTCCGGCAAAACAGCCCCACCCCCCCGAGAGATATCTCATTAACATAAATAATTTGGATATCTGTGAGTGCATTTGAAAAGACATTGTCACCTGCCGCTAGCGCATCATCAGTGCTTGTCTTTGGTCGTGTTCAGAAAATTCAGTCCAGTTTTGGGGTGTTCTAGAGATAATGTTGACCAGATGTGTCGCCACAGGCTGCAGCAACACCCATAAAGATGGGACCAGCCCGCATAACTTTCTAACCAAACCCAAATTTAAATGAATTTGGCCATCAAAAGTCAGGCTGACCAGAACCAAGTATTCAAAATACCCTTTTCACAGAAAAGCTGTGGCACTTTGCTGAGATTGTAAACTGAACAAACTTGGGTGTCATGAATGGCATGCCAAAAGCTTTCATTACTTTAAACTTCTGAAATTTGTTTCCAATTCCCCTGCAGCTACATGTAGGTACAGTTGTATATGACATCTTGGTTGAACAATGTCATACACAGTGACGTACAGTACATACATGTACATGTACATGTATGCATCATCATATGTTGCCATTCCATTTTGTATGGAGGGAAGTAATTGTATAGACATCTCCTCACCTTCCAACCCACCAAGGCCACCATTCTCTGAAAAACAAAAACCAGCAGTGAGGACTGAACAGAAACAAAGAAAAACACACCCTGGTAATAACAATAAGTGAAACCACAATGTTCTGGCCAGGAAACAAGTTAGCAAGAAAAACCAGTGTGAAGAAAAATGAAAACAGGTGACAGAAATCAGGCAGCTTGGGAAAACTTGTTTGCCATTAGTGTGTGGAAAATATTTAGATGGTGTGGCCCTGTTTGATGTATTACAGAGTGTGGAGGCTAAGTGACTGCCAACGAAAAAAGTGTGGGTGAATGACCATCAGGACATTAGGTTAAGAGGGACTTTTGTCAAGGATTTAAAATAATGTAAGACTTAAAGATGGAACTTAAGGTACATGTTGTGTAATTTTTGTTTGCCACAGGTAGACAAACATGCAGTGCCGGTACATCTTACCATCTGAATGTTTTTGACTTACTTTCAGATTTTTCATTGAGTCCTTAAGTCTCCGATTTATTAATATGATTTTTCTCATGCCCAGGGTGGATATATTTTCATGTGTTTAAGAGAGGAAGATAACATCTGGATTTCAAGTTGTCTTCTCACATGGTCAGGTCAGTTTAAACTCTAGGGGTCTTGCAATTCGTATATGCGTAATTCCAGAATTTAGGGGTCCAAAAGTACGACATTTTTATGTCCGTGTTACATCTGACCTTTGTTATTTGACATGGAAATATCACCAGAATTGATTTCAAACTATTACTATTTGTTTGGCAGGTAATTTGCATTAATTCCCCATTCTGGAAAATTAGAAAATGTGTTCTGAACTTACAGAATCAGAGGTCAGATGTGACAGGGACATGAAAAAAATGGACCCCTAATTTTTGAAATTACCCATATTTTCTTTGATAATTTCTTGATTCAGCTCTATACAAGTACGTCAGTACACCTGATACTGAACCAGCATGGCCAGACAACGTTTCAGCATGCATGTTCATTGCACCCAGGATACCAATACTTGTAATTGTTTTCAATTTAGGGAGCAATTAATTCCTTCTAAACCAGGTACCAGAATAGTCACAGTACCAACTGTCCTCGGTTTGGAATGCTGACTGCACACCAGGCTCCGTGCTGCAGAAGGACCATTTGTTCTGAACAGTTGGTTATCAGCATGAAAGTGTGAATGTATGGAAACATCAGGACAGGAAATGAAAAGGACGACAGGCCAAAGACACAGCAGTCTCCCCTTAATATATAAGCACTGTCAGTTCTTCAGGAGTGGCCAATAAGTACTCTACATGAGACCAACAGAAGCCTCTCAAAAGACAAATATTTCTCATTTCTGTGCTACGTGCTTGGAACCAAGCTTAACATGCACACATAATTGTTGGAGTATTCAATTCCAATGGCAGCTTTGCATTGAGCAAATTGTTCAGTGCAAACTCCTTATAGTATACACTTTTGTTATTTTATAAATGTTAGTGTGCATAGTTGGTTTTTAAGCTGTTCATCACCTTTTCGCCGTTTTAATCTGTTATTGCAATTTGTTCTTAGTTATGTATGTGTCTCATTTAGTTTGTGTGATTCTTGGTTTAAGTTGCTTACTTGTGAAAACTTGAAAGTCCATTGATGTTTGTTTATGAAAGAACATTTTGTTACATTGAACAAAAAATCCAGAGTCTTGACACATTGCTCTGAAGCATTTTTGTTTTCCATTTAGTTTTGAAAAAGCAACATGTTTTTGCCCTGTTCAAGATGGCTGAGTACGCCCATCATCAGAAGCTGTGAGGTTACGAGGTGTCATCCTAAGACCACTCACGGCTTGAGAGCAATCTGTCTTGTCATGAGGCATGCAGTGTTCTCTGTATGAGATCCCTTATTTTTCCCAGTTGAATTCTGTGTTGCTAGCCCTACCAGGGTTAGCACTAGATGGTGTGGTCACCAGACCACTAAGGTCAGTGCCCTATATCTCAAACCGGACATAGTGATTGGTTGGAATCTGTTTCTTGAACCTGCCAGGAAGATTGAATTTGTGCTTTTTTTCTGATACTGTATCACATATGTGGGAATTTCAGAATCAAGAAAATGAACTTGACACCCTTGCAGAACTACATGTAAAAAAAAAAAGAAACAGAGAGCTTTTTCTTCGTACCCTTAGACGCTGGATAATAACCTGTCACGGTTTTATCTCCAATTCCTAGCAACTTTCCTTTGATGCTTATTTTTACTTTTGGTTGTTTTCCTGTAAGCAAACATACTTCTTCCAGTTATCGCGTTTGAGAGTGATCTGTCCTGAGTTTGGAATCTTTGAAAAGAACAATATCCAAATTGTTTACATACAGTTACCACGTTAAATCAGGTTTTTTTTGTTCATACATTTTATTTTTAGTGTTAGAATAAATCCTTTTGTTCACCTATAACATTGTGCCAATTAAGTAGTCACTTGTTCCATAACAGTCTCAAGTAATTATGTGGGGATTCCAGACCTCCAGAGATGTAACAAGACATTTGACACAACAAGAACGCAGCACAACAGGGCAGACCAAGTTGTGACCCTAACCCAGCCAAAGTCACGTATTTCTCATTTGTACCCCAGCCGGCTCTGTTCACTACCACTTAAGCCTCCACAATCAAGCCAATTAGTGGAAGTTAAAACTGGTTGTGTGTCATAGTTTGGGGGATTGGTATCCAGTGGCCCTTGGAGGTCTCTTACAAGATTGTACTATACATGTATTTGTAGCAAGGTTCATATGTGTAAACTCCACATTTATGTCAAATACATGTTGCTGAAAATAAGTTTTCAAATTCACTGGACTAAGGTAGACCACTTTGTTTACATTTAGATTGAGCCCCCCCCCCTTTTAAATGTTCATTATGTTTTCAACATATTTTTCAAATCCAGTATATATTTAATTTGAGTACCATACATGTGTTTTTCTGAATGTTGACAATTTGATACATTTGAATCAGCGTTACTTTTACTTTTGTTGCTCAAGTGTGTTTTCACAGTTACATGTACTTCAGAACTGACAAGTAAAGGACCTCTGTAGCTGCCAATGTCATGTTTGGACTCACCTTTTTTTATTTGGTATTACTTTCCATCACTGCTTATCTGAAATTGGCTTAATAATCTTAATCTGGGAGGGGGTTGTAATAGTTCTGCTGAATGGCTTTTACCTTAGAGTTGGTTCTCTAGGTTGATATTTAATTTTGTTGACTTTTTCATTCCATTGCAGTTGCAGCAATATTCCTTTTACTTCTCTTGTTCACGGTCATCCTAAACAAAATGTTTTCACAATACCTCAACTCAGGTTTATTCTTGTATATGCTTATGTATTATGGAAAAGCATTTGTGTATCTGTGTATGGTTGACTGTTAAACGAATAGGGGAGAAATATGCTTTGGGTTGAGCAGTCCTGTGACCACAGGAAGTTGTTGCCTAGTTCATCAGGCATCAGTGACCTCTGCATTCCTTTGCTCTGAGTGTCCACAGTAGTTCACCAAACCACTACTATTTTACAAAATACAACCTGGTCATCCCACTGCTTGAATACTGACACCCCAGGATGCTGCTGGTTGTCCTGAATACCCACTAGTAACAAGTCATGATTCATACTTTAATTTGTGAGTTCTTTCTTTTGGTAAACATTAATTCATTTGCTGGAAACCCTTCACCTACTAGTTACAGCTGTTCTAAAACCATCTATGTGTGATTAGTGTGGCCGTAAATTATAATTGTTTGATTTTGTAAAAAGATGTGAATAGTTTCATGTTGAATTTTGAAAGTGTCATAGCTTTGTTTTCCAAATGCAATATGTTTATCAACATCAAACAATTCAATAGGCTTAATCCAAACAAGCTGAGAATCACTCCCAATCCAGTCCAGCTATTTCCTTGTGCCATCCTCTCAGAATTGTGTAAAAACAACTTTTTGTTTTTGTGCTTTCTTCTCCCTGGAGGTCGGCCGGGGTCAAGGTGCACTGGCCGCAAGTTTGTCAGCGCCTGACTGCCACCCCAGTAGCACTTCCTTCCAGGTACTGGGAACCCTAAAAGCCCCCGCTGGGTTGATTGTGTATTCCCCCAGCTGAGGTGTTGGTGCTTTTGTTTCAACTTTGCCTAATGTAATATAATAGTGCCAGAGGGCTGGTGTAGTTCACTCAAGTTCAGTGGTATAAATGTTTGAGTGTTGGTGTGTGGCCGTAGCTACAGAAGTCCTTTTACTTCAGGAAAATGCAATGCACTTTTTCTTTGGCTGGGTCAGTGTTTTCTGGGAGGAGTGATCAAATTGAGCTAGAGGAAAATGTTTCCCACAAACTTACTTCTCTTTTGCGTGGTATGTTGAAGCCTTTTTATATATAACAGTGTCTTTTCCAACCAGTCCACCTTTGTTGGTTTTAAGATAGCATTGTCATTGATATATTCAATCGGAAGATATTTGTGAAACCTTATTTTCTTTATTTATTGATTGTGTAATTTATTTCCTTTTTTAGTGAAACAAATATTGATGAAACTTAAACTACTTGTGTACATAGTGGAAGAACAAAAATTAATTCATGAATTAAAAGCTTAACATTGACAAAAAAGTGTATTTGATAATACAGCGTAGACAGAGTACCTGAGAGAGTAATTGATTTCACTCTTAGACTTAATGTTACACTGGTTATTATGTACATGTAAACGGCTAACATTCATATTGTTGAGATAACCATAAATGGATTGGTATTTTTTAATTGAACAAAAGTCGTATTTGAAATTCCAGAAAAAAGTGGACCTTTCCCCCCCCCAAAAAAAGAAAATGAAAAATATTTTTCAGGTACATGTAAATGGACTGGTGCCAACACCTTGGCTATGTAAATAGATGTAGAATACTCCCATGGGGCTGGTATGTACATCTGGTTTCTTGTCTAGGTAATGTAATCACTTCACACTGCCCTTTGGCAGTTGCTATATTCTTGGTCCAAGTTAGTGTGTGGAGTCTGGAGAGCATGAGATCTTGGTAGTATGGTACAATATTGCATCTTGCTGTCCTACTTATATTATTACTGTGTCTACATAGATCATATTTTTATCATCGTAGAATAGCTATGATTACTTGTGTATGGGGGTGTTCACTTGTCAAGTGTTTATGATGATTTCTGCTGTGTGGGAGTAGAATAGGTTATTTATGTCAGGAATTAAAAAAAGCAAATTGTCTGGCTTATGGGTGCAAAGACAGTGGTCTTTGGCCTGGTCTGAACTTTTTTTGTTTACATCTGGAGCAAAGATTAACCTTTGTAAATGTACAAGTGTGTACTGTACATGCCATCTGCTGTTTATGATCCCTGATGAAAGTTTGTACACATAGTTACCTTGTTAAAAACAGGGGGCTTACTCTGCTCCCATTACAATGGTAAATGTGCTGGATTAGGATTCACTAGGCACTTGACAGTAATAAGTCTCATGTAGTTTAACTTCTTGTGCTTGAGTAATGAAGGCTTTGATTTAGCATAAAACATTAAAGTAAAGAGATGACCATTGCAAGCTTTTTGAAGAAGGCTTATTTTAGGCTTAAGTTCAAATTTTTCATCTCACCTTCCCTTCCAAGTTTTTTATGACATGTATGTGTAGCATTTGTTCCAGTCGGCTTGTACATTAGTTCCGATATATTTTGGTCACTACTGCTGAGACTACCTTTGTACATGTGCTTGTGAGTTTTTTATATCTTAAAATGTTCTCCATATTATTTTTCCTAATATGTATATGCCGGTAGTCGGTGCATGTAGGACAGCCTTCCCAAAATACAAACACAAAGACTTCACAAAAAGTTTGATGAACTAGACACGTGTATTTCTAGCATTAGTTCACAGACAGTTATTTGTTAAAAGAAAAATTTGATAAAGGAAAAAGAAAGACTGATACCACAAATCAACAATGTAACGGATTATTTATAGATAAATTGTGTACATTTGTCATGAGATTACATAGTTCATTAATATAAATGGTATAAAAGTCCCTAAAGTTTGTCGACCGATCTGCTGACATGCTGGATCATGTTCAGAAATATGAATGTTTAGTTGAGTGTGTAAAGACCAGGTCTCTTCAGAGAAATCATCCAAGAAGTAAAAATGCCCTCTTTTGAGGATTTTTTTTAATAAAGGAGCTTCACTTACCTTCCTGTTTTTCTGTTAAGATTTTTAGTCTAAATTTTAGCAACTAGTCCATACAGGAATGAAAGCTTTGACTAGTCTAACTTGAATTGTGACATTGCTTGATGATCACCAGTGCACCCCCCCCCCAAGTCTGATGACCCCCAGGTTGGAGCTGAGGGTTGCATGTGGACCCACCTATGGTTATCATGAATTATTGGCAGTCCTCAAAAAATTGAAGAACATGTGCTATGAAGTACCTTAGTTAGGATATATGATATAGGGTCTGCCCACCCATCAGTTTGATAAGACCTATTAGCCCTTTGTTTGTGTGTGTGTACATGAGATAAAGAGCACAATCTCTGTTGACAATCTGGTTTGTATCCAGCTTTGAAAACAAAGGCAAAGAGTTGTCCTTTCAGGGTTATCTAGTATTTAGGAAAGGTTGGGGCAGAAGGAGTGAGTCAGTTGCTATTACCAAATGCTGTTGCCCTACATTTCCCTACCAAAATGCCCTTTGTTGACTCAAATTTAAAGGAGCACAGTGGCTAGTATCCTACTTTCTGTGTGGACCTCTGGCATGACTAACTCCAGTATGTATACTGTATGGGGGAATTCATGCGTGTATGGGTTCATGTACAGATGAATGCTGACTTGAAAATTCTTAAATTTTCATGTCAGATTTCTCATTGAAATGTGCTGAAGTCTGGAAGGCTGACTAGTATAACATATGTGTAGTTACTTTCAAACTATTCTTGATGTACAGTTTGCCCCAATTTATTCATACCCCTTCCAAATTCAGGTAACATAGAATTCACAACCAAGAGATCATAGAATTCACAACCAAAAGCTGAGATCTTTGGCCAAGTGTGCTTTTGCAAAGGAAATACATGTACTAGTTTTTGTGTGCCCGCTTTGACCATCAGTCTAACTCAAATATAGCAAACTGCCACATTTTTCAAAGGGTATGAATGATTTGGGGCTTAACTGTAAATATAATTCTACCCAAACCTATACTTGCCAATATTTTTTAAATTGGAGCTTAATCTGAAATAAAGATATCAAAATTAGTCGGAGCTCACTTAGATTTACATGTACAATCACATGTAGCTTTGTATACATGTACCCCGCTATCAAGACTTTAAAGTCAAAAGAAAGACAAAATGACCCACTGGGAGAGCAACAAAACATTCATGAACATGGAATGAAATGATGAGGGAAGCCTCGGCAACTAGAAATACCATTGGCAGTGCAAAAGAAGAAGAAGAAGCAATCTTTATGTAGTACTGTCTTAGTCTATCATTGGTTTTTTTTTATCAATGGAATACATGTTCATATGTTACCTCCTGGACCTAAATTCTAACCCTGTTCAAACTGATAACAGACCTGTTTCTACCAATTTGTTGTTTGTCTTGCCATGAAAGCACAGGGTAGAATGGGAGAAATGAATTGTGTGTACAATAAACGTCACTGATGACATTGTTTCAATACTTGCCTTGTGCTGTATGTGTATTTGCTTTCAAAATTGTCTTCTTCCAGACTTTACCTTTTGAGTTCCAAGTTAGGTTTCAGACTCATACAATAAACACTCTTCCCCCCACAAATTAAAGTGACCTTAAGTGTGGGTACCACAGCTTTAAATACATTTGTGCGTGGCTTGGTTGTTATGAAATGTGTTCTTTTTTTCAAAATAGTGGGTTGAGCTGCTACTCCCTGATCCCAACCAGTGCTGAATTTTACCTGTGTAGAACCATGGAGGTTGAAACACTGCACCTATGTAACAGCCCTGATGGATTCTTGGAAGGGTAAAAGGCATTGTAATTGCATCTCACTTTGACTGCAATCAAAAAATGAAAACTTGGAAACTATAAGTGGGCATTATAAGCAATTTCTGTTATACCTGCCTTATGCTACCACTTGTTAATCACATTTGTCCTGCTACAGTGTGCTCTGTAACACAGATAGGCCTACCTTTTTCAAGCTAAACGTTACTTTTAGAATCAATACTAACAAGTATAGTAAGCAAGACAGGAACAATTGCTCTAAAAACACATTTGGGACTTAACAGAGAAAACAAGAAGTCATTAAACTTTTTTATTGCTGAACCTGCACAAAGAAAACCTCTTGAAATAGCCATTAGGGATATCATATCATCTCTGCAATATACTGACTATTAAACCCAATGTGTGTCCCCCAAAAGATAGCTTATCATGTCTGCTATTGTGGTCAAAGAATGGGTAATACAGTCAACAATATCAAAGTTCCCATCCAAAGAATAGCTGTTGATTTAACCTTTTCATTTTTGTGGCCCTATCAGCTTCACCCCCTGTGCTAAGGGGTTCTGATAGCTTTGTGTCTTGCAGCGGGTACATTGATAATGCCTTGTTACCAGACTTTTGTCATAACGTGTTCAAAGTCTCCCCCTCTTCCCTCTGAAAGGAGCGGATCTCAGATTAGTTGGTACAATTGATTTAATTATTAATGATTAGGGTGTGGAACCTCTCATGATTGGTGAGGTTCACCTGTTGACCAGAAAGTATAGATGAAAGCTGATGAATGAGTAGAGCTTGTTCCATTTTTGAACTGAGAGATAACATTTTTGTTTACATTAGCCTCTATTGGTGATGGTGACAGTAAAGGGTATAGTTCAGCTCATGCATTTCATTGACAGCTATTCAGTTATAGAGTCCTGTTAGTGTGTGTTTGTAGTCAACACATTTGTGTACATATCTGGTCAAAAGTTTACAGTCTGTCTTTAAATGTAACACTTGGGCACTTTTCTGACACTGAGCATCACTATAAAGCCATCCGCACTGTAATCCATGAATATAATGCTTTGGCTGGTACCACATTGAGGGGAAGATTTCTTTTGTTAAGAAACTTGTGGGGACAAAAATTGTCCCTATAACATTTTGGATCCCATTAGCCTCTATGTTGCAACAAGTACATGTATGTTGTCACAATTATGGAGCAAGTGTGTGTGTTCACTCGGGGCTGTGACAGTTACGCCCTCCCACCCCACCAAATCTCCCATTGCTTTGCACACACACACAAATTGGTTTCTTCCAAGGAACAGTCATATTTTTTTCTTTCCTTTTTGTGGCCACAAGAAGTTCATAAATATGAGCATTGCCATTGTCAGACTTGTTTGCTGACAAATCCAACTTTGTCCCTGCTGACAAATTCTGTGTATGGGTGAATGTCATTTTCTTGATTGATGGCTGGCTCTTGAGATACGATAAGACCAAATGCGGACAATATGTACAGTGGCCAAGTCCTTAAATAGAGTCCATGGCTATATTGTCAGTGGCAGAGTGCCAAGTCCTCAGGTATTCATGGGAAAGGTTACACAAATTGCCACACATGGGATCTTTTGTAATAGGTTAGATTGACCCAAATAATTGGTAATGCTTATTGTAAAAAGAGTCCCACTCGTCCTGTAAAATTGAACTTGGAACATATGCTTTTTAAACTTTTGATGTACATGTTTATCTGGAGAATGTTTGTGTTCATTTGGCTGTTCCCTGTTCAGTTTGTAGAATCTGCTCAACCAGTTAACGTCAGATTCTCTTACCCGAAAAAGCTGCTTGGGCGGGTTTTTTATCTGCAATTTCTTCAACCTTGCAATTGTGCTTTGACCCAACCAAGCACACCGCGTTAATATGTTAAGCTCGGAAGTGAAAAAAGAATTCTTAAACAATTGTACACATCCTTCATGGAACACATAACCTAATCTAGTTGGTAGTAAATTTATCAGGATAAGCATATACTGCCATTCTGAATGAATACCATCCTCGTGTCATTAACCATCGACAATAGCCAAGCACTTTGCTGAAATTATCACCGAACATTTAAAGATGCCGTCAGATATTGACTAGGCTTAATGAAGTGAGTACCTGTTTGACACAAGTACAAAGCATCAGACCAAGTAATCCACCAATTTCTGACGCAAACGCTTCCTCTGCGATTTGGCTGGATTTCCGGGACAGATGTTTTTTAGTGAAGCTGCCGATTGGCGGCGAGTTTTAGCATTGTTTGAGGTGTCTTAGTTGACGCCAATGAACTGTAAACTGTCTGCAATATGTGTTGATGATTCCAGTGTTCAGTGTTGTTCATGTTCTCAGAATGAGGTTGATGTTATCACCCTCTTCTAGATTTTTATGGTGAATAATGATTTTGAGATAATTAAAAATATTGGAACAGAACCACTTTTGAAGTTTGATCAATTGAAATAAATACAGTTTTTACCAAAAGAATTGTGTATAATTTTCAAACTGTAAAAATATAGTTTCATGTCTTTTGATTCTTTACAATACAGACCAATATACAGTTGGATTATTTTCATTAACAGAATCAAAATTTTGAAAGTGAATAACTGGGAATAGAACTGCTTCAAGACCTTCAAATAACCCATATGTAACAGGATTAATAGGATACAACTTTGAAATGGTTCTGGTTTTTTCTTCTACATGTAGTTTGCCACAGTGGAACAGCCTTACCCTTAGCTGACATGGCAGAAGTCTCATTGTGCCTAAAGCTGAATTGTTATCTTACTGTCAAAGTCAGTTCACCATCCTAGGCCTTCTGCAAGCCACCAGCATGCATCAGGTATTTGTTTCATTTAATGGTTGTTATTGGACAATTTGTCCCTGTGGAGGGTTGCCAAGGGTCACTTGCAGCACTATGCAGGGTGATGGTAGCATAGAGGCATGTGGAGGATTGGTCTTCTCAAACACTTCATGAAGTGGCCCTTGAAGGGGACAGACACAAGAGATTGTTCTAGTGATTGCTAATAGCTGTCATTAATATCTGTTTCATCTATGGTATCTATCTTCAGTGTCAGTCCAACATCTGTGTCTCTGTTTCTACTCTCATTCGTCATTCCTGATCAACCTTTAGGTGCTCCTAACGTAGTCCTGGAACCAATTTGATCAGGAAAAGTGTTGGTAAAAACATGGCAAGATTGCTCACCTTCCAAGGTGACACCCTAGTTTTATTGAAGGCTCAAGATGTTGAATTAATAGCTCCAATGAATACAGGGACTGGGTTGTTTTTCACTGTTGGGACATAGACTTAAAGTGCACTGTACTCTTTGCACGCAAACTACCAAATATAGCCCCTTTCGTTTCATTTTTTATTTTAAATATGAATACCACATTCATTTTTTCCCAGGAAGGCTTTATTTATGTCTTGAGTGGATACAAGGAGATGTATTACACCGGCCTCAATGCAGTAAATTGCCTGTGATTTGGTTGTTGAATGCTGTTGCGACATGTGAGTCTTTTTGTTGCTTTAGGCAGGCTGTTGTTGCCTAGGAGTATGCATTGTAAAGGCAAAGATTTTGGACTGCTACGGTATGTGCATGTAGGTCACCTGCTATTCAAAAGATGTTTATCGTGAATTATTATAGAATTTAGAAAGAGAAAGATCTTTCTGTACCAAGGTTTCAATTGTTGTGAGTCGATAACAGTATAAATTTGGGTTGCATACATGTATGTGTAGTTGTTTGGTCCCATGTTATTGGCCTTTCATCACCCTTTTATCACAGTTACATCGTAGGATGTTCAGACAAATCAAAACTCACAGTATCAGGTTTCATGCACCTCAGACAGTATGTGAAGGAGAAAAGAAGAACTCTACTTGGAGACCAAATGAATTTTGAGGCCCTACTATTGGATTGCAATGGCCTGGGGGCCAAACCCCACTCCTTGTGGAAAATACATCATCCATCTTGCACCACACAACAGCCGCTGGACTGTTGATGAAGACTCATTATTAGACTTGAATCCTGGGGCTAGGGTTCAGCAAGGGGGGAGTGGTCGCTTGACCCAGAGAGCCCACTGGGCTTCTGATCATACCGATCCTGGGGAAAAGAGATTCCTTGTGTCAGGGGTTTAGGGGGCACATTTCATCGTATCTGATCACCATATCTAAATTGTTATCACAGACTGACTGGAGTGCAGCTATTGCATGATGACTGCACTTATTTCAACGGCAGATGCAGCTCACGAATCGGTGTTTGTGTGTATTGTTCTATTAATTCTGTTCACAACCTCCAAACTTCTGAGAGTTGTCATCACACTGAAATCAATTCATATCTTGGGATAGATTTACAAGGTTTTGACAGCAGTCGTGATATGTAGAATTAGTGATGTCTTTGATCTACATTTACATGTCTGTAGACATTTGAAACAATTATGCTACAGGTAACAGGATGCGTGATCACAGATTTTGTTATAGCATTATAGCATTTTCTCTCCCAGCAAATTTGTGCAGATGCAGACTTCTTGATGAAATATTTGTAGATATTATTTTCAACTTGTTTCATGGCAAAATGAAATGCAGCTGTAAAACAAGCAATATCCTCAAAACATTTGAATGTTAAATGGCTTTGAACAGGGAAAAGGCCATTGTTTGCTTGAAAACCAGGGAGTACATTGATTGTAAAAGTGGTGTTTATCTGTTGATTCCAGCAAAATTTGTACTCCTA